CTGGACGACAGCGGGGTCAGGGCCGCCGAGGCGGGGGAGGCCGAACCGAGCAGCAGCAGCACGTCCTCTTCCTCCTTCAACTCCAAGGTCTCGGATTTGACGAACATCCTACCGAAGAGAGCAGGGAAGGAGAAAGAAGCAAACGAGGTGTCAATTTAGGCGCAGAGGCGCGTTCTGGGTGCCACAGGGACATTATCCTGCGCGCGCCCGAGAGGACTGGTTCGGAACCGCGCTAGAGAGGAAAGCCCTGCCAGTGCTCTCCGAGCTCAGGAGCGCCCCCAGTTGTGACCCCGCCGCCAGCCAGCCGGGTCCCGCACTCTGTGGTCCCGCCCGGGAAGGGACCGCGGCCCCGCGACAAAGATTCTGCGCGAGCAAAGGGCGTCCGGACGTGGTGGGACGGAGTGCGGGAAACACCGTTCAAGCTGGAGCGGCAGCGCGGGTACTCACTCACTTCGCTCTCCAAACGCGCTCGGCGTCGCTCTCACGCTGGCGTGTGCCGCGATTCTCCGCGCCGCCGGGAGCGCCGCGCCGCGTCCCTCTCCTCTCGGAAGCGGCCGGCCCGGCGCTGCTGCGGCGCGGCCCCGCGGGGGCCCTGTCCCACCGGCGTTTGCCAAGAGCCCCGGCGGCCACGGCGACCCGCCCGGCTCTCGTGTGTTGTGGTGGTGGTGCGTGTCTGTCTGTCAGTCAGTCCCCGGCCGTGCGGCTGCTGGCACGCGACTCCCGGGCACTCCAGTTAAAGCGAAGCTGCTTGTGGTTCAGTGGCTGCGTGTCTGGCACACGACTCTCCTTAAAACCCCTTATATACCACCAAGAAAACAATCAGATCTGCCCCCGGGGCCCCTACCTCCCCCCCACCCCCGGCTGCCGCCTCCCCCTCCCCCCCCGTGCTGCCCCCCTTCTCCCCCGCTTTTCCCTCCCCGGGCTTACTCTTTTCATTGCATTATCATCATTCATTTCTTTCTCTTTCTTCACCCAAGTCCCCCTCCCCTGGCCCTGCCATCCATCCTGCTCCCATCGCCCCCGCCTCTCTTTCCCCCCTTTATCTAATCAGCATAAAATGGTTCTAAAGCTCCTGTTGGAGCTCGAGGCTGCGGTCGCAGCGGCTGAAGCCGTGGCGGCGGCGGCGGCTCAAGCTGCGGCTGTTGTCGCCGCCGCTGCCCATTGTGATTGGTGGCTCGCGCTCGGCTGGAGCGTGCCGCTAATTTATTAGTGAATGGAGGTCGCGAGGCGCAGCTGGCCAATCAGGGCGCCCCGGACTCCGGGAGGCCTGCGAGCCACGCGCACCGGAGCCCGCTCCCTTTCAGCGGCTCATTAGGGGCCGGGGCGCTGGGGGCGGGTGGGGGGACCGAGGAGACCATCCCCGCCCCCGTCCTCGCGGCCGCACCCCACCCCCTGCCCGGCGCGCGCGCACGCACCGTACCCGGCGCGGCCCGGCCTCCTCGCTCCCGGACGTCGGGATCCGAGGAATTAGTTAATGGGGGTCAGCATCCCGGTGCTGCCGGACGACTCTTGGCAAAGCCTCTTAGGAGCTGTATCAAATAGTAAATGATTTTTAAACGCATTCATTTGGTTAAGGGAGGAATGGGGTGTGGGTGGCGAGCGGTGGGCACATCCTGGGCAAGCGTGTTTAGGTTCCAGAGAGACTAACGGGAGAGGGAGAAGGGAGAGGACTTTGGGGGATTCACAGAGGCGTCTCCTGGAAGGGGAGATGGAGTGGGGAGCAGCTGATGGGCTTTTAGGGGCTGTGAGAATAAAAGCACTCACAGGTTAGAGCGGAAAGGGACCTCCTCATTTTACCTGTGATACACTGAGACCCCGGTCACTGACACAGGTGGGCTTTTTTCCAGATTAGCCCCAGTTTACGTCAGGGCGTAGCAGCCAGGGGCCTCCCTGCGTGGGTGGCGGCGAGCCGAGCAAGAGGAGCCGGGAACTTGCGCCTCCCGGAGCGAATGGGCCGCGCTGACACTTCCGTGACCTCTGCTCCGCGCTGGGGGGCGTTGTAGGGACATGGGGCCCGTCCGCCCGATTCTCTGGCTTTTCAATAGGAAAAAAGAGCTGAAGGGCTACCGGACTTTGGAGGAAACTTGTTCTGAATTGCACGTCGGCCCTCCCTCTCTCCTCCCCACACTCAACGCCCACCCTCTTGTCGACGTAGCTGACTTTCCTTAGAGACGGAACTAGAGCCCCCAGAAGTGTGTGCTGGGCAGAGAGTTAGACCGTGCATTAGTGGCAGGGATGGATCTAAGCTCGAGCAGATTGGAGGAGTCCCTTGGGAAGCCTTTTGCAAATTAAGTTTAAGCAAGGTGCAGTTGGAATGTTAGGAGTTGAAAAGTTGCAAGAGAAAAAGAATATTTTCTGCGGGTCTCTGTCTCATTTGGTTTGTAGAAATTGGAAACAAGTTGTATTTCAGAGAAGAGAATGATGAAAGTCGTGTTGGTTAGATGAAAGTTGTTAGTGTTTTGGCATGGTTTTAATTTGTTTAATGTTCTCTGATGGGAGGTAACAAGCAGGATGGGAAGGCACAAAGTAAAGAAAATGAACATTGGAGTCCCATGAGACTGTTACCTGCCTCATCTCTCCAACTTCCACTTTCCTCTACGATTTTCACTTTGCCCATTGATAGTTGTATTTTGCATCTCCTCCCCTTTTAAAATAAATTCCCTAAATTTAAAAGCATTGTTTCCCCAGTTCCCTCCTCAATCCTTTCAGAACAGCTTGATTTTATTTGTTCGAAGTGCAGAGATTAAAAAAAGAAAGAAGAGAGAGACACGTTCAGTCTCTCCAGAATACAGCATCTGCCTCCCTCGCACTTCTTTGGGTCTCTGGCTCTGTATCATGAACCTGCAGAATGAGAAATTAATAAAACAGTTTGATCAGTAGTGACAGACCCCAGAAGCGCTTACCTTGGTTGCATGGACATATTAGCATTATTTTATGGGTGGTGGTCACTGATACAAACAAACAAGTAAGTACTCTGCACAGTCCCCCTAAAAGAAAACCCTCCAAGGTCTTGGCTAGCCTGGGAAAGACCGAGGAACACGTGCGAATGGATGCAGGATTTTTATGTTAATTTGAATGAAACAGAGGGTGAGATAGCTAGGTTCTGAGGAAATGTTCAAAGACTGCGAAAAATAAATAGTGGCATGATGGGAGGAACCCTGGAGAGTCAGTCTTTACGTATCTACATCTCACTGCGTTGCCTGCAAAGAAAAGCCAATAGGTTACTGTAACAGAAAACAGAGGAAAGTTTTAGTATCAGTAGAAAGCTCTTTGGACAGGTGGTTATAAATTTTGGTTTGGCTAGGAAGTGCTGGGTTGATTTGATGATAAAATACATTTGGGGGAAGAACAGAATCAGAACCCAGTTAAGTAGAGGCTTAAAGGAAAACCTGATGAGCTTTGTATAACCGCAAACAAACACCGAGATAAAGCCCCATCTAGTGCTCAGTGCTAGTGAAATACACAATGGATTTCTTTGGTTGATTGTTAACAGTATTTGGGCCTCTGACTCCCCAGTTTTTATGTTCTCCCAAGATTTTATGTTTTTATGATGCACTGAAAGGGTACATGCTTTCCTTTGTCAAAATCCAAACCTTCTGTACTGTCTGTGAGAAGTTAATAATGGATATATAAGTGTATCCTGTGCAGATATTCAGTAACGGTAAAATATTATCAGGCTAAATTGCACATTTCTGATCCCAGAATTTTGGTTGTGTGTTTGTACTGAAGTATCACTCTTGATAATAGAACACTTCTGGAAATATTTCCCAACATGAAGAGTATTATTTCAAAAAAGAAAAGAAACAACCCTAAGAACAATGTAACGATGCTGGTGCAATCCAGAAACCAACCATTCACACCCAGTTGCAGAATTCTATTTGTTGAGCATTTTGCTCTATTTCGCTGAAAGAAAGCCATTTCGATTTGTACTCAGATTTGCAAAGACGTGACCAACGCCAAATATCCTTAGCTGGACTCTTCTAGCACTCTTTTAACTTAAATAAATTCAAGAGGCACTTGTGTGGTCTGAAAGATTGTCCAGATGAAGCGAGGCTGAAATATCGCGCGGAGGGGGAGGGGAGCGTGTGAATGGCGTCAGCGAGGAGGGGGGCGAGGGCCGCTGCTGTCCACTGCGTGAACTGTCCCAAGGGTCAAACTGTTCATCTTCAGCCCCTCTTTCAGTGTGCAATCCTACTTTACGAGAACAAAAGCTCAACGCAGGCAGTTATCAAGAAATGGGAGCACGATGATTTAAACGCATCCCCAAGCCTTAGAAAGAAAGGGGCCCAGTGCGTGTAGCGAGAGAAAAGTGAAGCGAGGGGAGGGGTGAAGGGGTGGAGATCTTTAGAAAGTCTTTGTTGCTTCTAAGAAGCTTGAACTTTGAGACGACCCCAAAGCCCTAAAGTTTAGGGTAGGTGTTGCTGTGGGGCCGTAGGCTACATCCCATCCACACTTCGACCTCACAAGTGGCCAAAGAGGACAAACGCTCCCCGCGCCAGACTCTCGCTGTTGCAGGTGAATATGGGGTGGGGGTGGGGGGCGCTGTCCCCAGAGAGCAAGAGCGAAAGTTCGCCTGCCTGGCGAGCCTGTCCCCCGATTCACAGTAAACCACCCTGCCCGCTAGGGGAGGGCGCGTCTACGCTCTGCTAAAAGGACGGGTCGACGTGCCTGCCAAGGGGGGCTTTGTAGCCTAAATCCTAATCCTCTCCGAAAGGCGGAAAGATGGCGAGAAAAAGTTAGCCAATCAGGAACATCTTTCGTTCTCCGCTGAACGGGAAACGCAGTTTCCCGAGACGGGGAGGCCGGGGTGGGAGCGGTTCGCTCTCCCCCAGCGGAGGACTCCTCGCAATGCCACAGTTGGTTGTTGGTGATGGTGAGAGCCGGGAGCGGGTGCGAGCTCGGAGTTTGGGGCGGTCCCCTTCCGGGAGCCAAGGAAACCAAGAGAAATAACCACGTAAACTCATGCCCCACCTCGGCCTGGAGCCCTGCACGGAATTCTCAGTCTCACCCTCGCTTTCCCTGGAATCCTGTCCGGGGGGATTCGGCATCCAGGGAGTCCTGCAGAGATGTCGGACCCCCAGCGCCGCGCGGCCGCCTCCCGGCCCAG